GGGAGAGTGAGATGGGGAGAGCAGAGGGGGGAAGAGCGAGAGAGGGAGAGAGCGAGAGGCGGGGAGAGTGAAAGGGGGCGAAGGGGGAGAGCGAGGGGGGAGAGCGAGGGGGGGAGAGAGCAAGAGGGCGAGGTGGGGAGAGCGAGAGGGGGAGAGAGCAAGAGGGGTGGAGAGTGAGAGATGGGGGAGATTGAGAGAGGGGGAGAGCGAAAGGGGGCGAGGGGGGAGAGCGAGAGTGGGGAGAGAGCGAGAGAGGGGGAGAGCGCGAGAGGGGGGAGAGCGAGCTGGGTAGAGTGAGGGGGAAGAGCAAGAGGGGGGAGAGAGTAAGAGTAGGGAGAGATTGAGAGGGGGATTGAAAGGTGGGAGAGAGGAGAGAAAGTACATGTGTGATAGAAAGGTAAGAAAGGGGGAGTGAGAGAGAGTGATTGAGAGAGGAGAGAGAGAGAGCGATTGAGAGAGAGGGGGAGAGTGCGAGAGGGGAGGGAGTGAATGTGAGAAAGAAGGGAAGAGAAACAGAGAGAAGGGTGGAGCAATTGAGAGAGGGTGATTGAGAGAGAGTGATAGAGAGAGAGAGCTTGAGAGGGGATAGAGAGAGGGGGAGAAAGAGTAATTGAAAGAGGGAGAGTATGTGAGAGGGGGTGAGAGTGGTTGACAGAGGGAAGGTGAAGTGTGAGAATGAAGAATGTGTGAGGGTGTGAGAAGTGGAGTGAAAGAGTAATTGAGAGAGAGCGTGAGAGAGGAGGTGAGAAGGAGAGAAAGTGTCCCCCACCCTCTCTCCCCCCTCCCTCTTTCTCTCCCCTCCTCTCTTTCCCTCCTCTCTCACACACAGATCAAGTTAAAGTTTTCAGGTTTCTCACTCTTAAATATATACTGGGGGTGATGACTTATAGAGCTACAGAGTTTAACTTGATCCATAATGTTAGGATCAATAGTTGCTTAGGTTGTAATAAGATTGAAGGAATAATGTACCAATCACTGCTTGCGAATTATATCACACTTCTGAGGGTTATTTTAATAAAGGTGGGTTTATAGTTGCCAACTGTATTGAATTTTTGAACTTCATTTGCTTTTTCCATCCTGTCAGAACCTCCAGTGTTTTCATTGATTTCTTCAAAGTGTGTATCAATGTCTATCAGTATTTCACAAATATTCAGCTTTGGAACTTAGGAACATAGGAACAGGAGGAGGCTATTCAGCCCTTTGAGCCTGTTCAGCCATTTAATTAGAACATTATCTCAACTAATCAGTATCTCAACTAATCCTTTCAATTCCAATTTCCCGCTTTCTCCCCATATCCCTTAAACCCTGACCTACCAAAAATCTATCAGCCTCAGTCTTGAAGACATGGATGGATCCAGCATCCACAGGCTTTTGGGGGAGAGAATTCCAGATTTCTTCCACTCTTTGAGTGAAAAAATGCTTCCTGATTTCACTCTTAAATGGCCTGGTTTTAATTTTAAGACTATGCCCCCTTGTTTTGGATTCCCTACAAGAGGAAATAGCTTCTCTGTATCTACCCTATCAAATCCCTTTATCATCTTAAATACCTTAACAAATCACCCCCCAACCTTCTAAACTCAAGGGATTACAATCCAAGTTTATGCAGCCTTTCCTTGTAACTTAACCCTTTTAGGCCTCGTAGCATTCTGGTAAACCTGCGCTGCACCCTCTCCGGGGCCAATATATCTTTCCTGAGGTGTGAACTGAATGCAATTTTGGGGCATCCTCCCATCTGCACAACTTTCTGAACTTTGTAGCTTAGTGTCACCTGCAAACTTGTATATAAAACTTTCTATTTCTTCTTTCAAGTGATTTATATATATATGGTGATTAGCTGGGGTCCCAGTACAGACCCCTGGGGGAACACCACTTGTCACGTGCCGCCAATCAGAAAACATTCCCTTTACTCTTACTCTGTTTCCTGCCTCCCAATCAATTACCAAGCCACATCACAAGGTTACCACCGACTCCATGCACTTCCACTTTCACTCATAATCTTTTGTGTGGAACCTTATCAAATGCCTCCTGAAAGTCCACATAAAAGACATCCATAGACACTTTCTTATCCAACATTTTAATGACCTCCTCAAAAAATTAAACTAGTCAGACATGACTAATGTTATGTGTCTTTGTGTCTCTAAACACCAATATTTGTCAGAGATAATGTTGTGGAAGTTATTTTGCTGAAAGTTCAGTTTGGCAATCCAATAATAATAATAGTCCAATAATAAGGAGAATATAGAAGCTTCTTGGAGAATAAGAATTTGATATGGACATCAAAACTGCCTATATTGAAAATGTGTCTCCTGTATAGATTAAGTTGGCATTTTTCTTACCCTCTGAAGTCATTAATTTGGTATTATCTGGAAAAGNTTTTTTTTCTCTCTTAACCATCATCTCAAGAAACTTTATGAAACATTTTTAAAGCCTTGAATAGATTTATCACATTATCTTTTCAAACAAGACACCTAAGAAGATTGGAGTGCGCAGAATACTTTAATAACCTAACTCAAGTTTCCCCTTTGTTGTAATATAATGGAGTCATCAAAATCCTATCTTAAAATATAATTCTATAATTTTGGTAGGTTTGTATGCGTATTAATCTCACTGAAATGAACAGGATAATTTGGGAACTTTTTAAAATTTATTTTCGTCATTGCACCATGAAGAATATTACCTGATTTCTTTAAGCTTCAGCTTGCAATGTGTAACTATAACCAAATGACTTTAAACCATTGAGAGATGACATCTCACAGGGGACCTTATAGAGGTTATTGAGGTGTTTTACATTTTAAATGGGACAGGACAGATACTAACAAGTTTTTCTTTACTCAGAGGGTAATTATTGACCAGAACAGTTTGCCAGCAAGGGTGGTTGAGGCCAGGCCACTGGACTCATTTCAAACCAGCTTGATACAGTGATGGGAGGACAATAGGGTGGTATTCTGAAGGGATGAGATCAGATGGCCCAAGAGCCTTCTTCATTCAAACAGATCTTGTGATGTATGGCAACTATATCTTTTCATTTTCGTTCAGTGTCTGAGCACTGTCTTTAGCTAAGAAATTTCATCGATATTTATAGAAAAGAGCAGCTTGGGGCTTGAATTATTAGTCATATTAGTTGTATGATAGATTTCTGATTGGTAACTCTGTGTGAAAAACCTCTGTAAATTGCCTTTTGGGAAGTGACATTTGGCGATGAAGATCACACTGCATTGTGCTTATGAAAAAGATTACTTTGTAGATGATACAACCTCAGTACTTGCAAGACTGCCAAGAAAGATCTCCCAGTGATAAGGTTACCAATTCAGTGGTAGGAAGGTTTGTTTGGAGGCTGCTTTGTGTAAGATCTGTTAAATAAGATGGATGAGCCAGGCAGCAAGCTCTCATCCACTGAGGGGGGTGGTGGTGGGGGGGAATTGATGGTAGATCAAAATTAGTCTTTGAATGATTTGATTTGTCATAAAACTATTCCCTTTGTTGTAAAACATGACCTCAATTTCTGAACTCATAGTAACTATTCCTTTTTCTGAAGACTCCAGCCCACATCAATAATGATAATAAATAATAATAATCCTTGCATTTGATATAGCGCCTTATCACATCTTCGAGACGTCTCAAAGCGCTTCACAGGATATACTGCAAAGTGAAATGACTATTTTGTGGGCGAAATGCGGCAGCCAATTCCGCACAGCAGTGTCCCACAAACGTGTCACTTCCTTATCATCAGTCCTGCACAGTTGAGAAATACAGAAGGTAATTGATGAATGCTGCAGCAAATGGAGACAGACTCACAAAGTGCCTTGTGAAACGACTTAAAGACAGTATGACTTTGTTAAATTAAAAAGCAATTTAAAATGCATTTTTTTGGCAGTTATATTCCTTCCAGTTATATTTTCAAGGACACCGCTTTCCAAAAATCATTTAACAAAGGCTTATGTTTACTTTAGTCGTTACTGGATGCTCAGACTATTGCAGTTAGATTGTGAATGTATCTGAATTTAAAGAGCACTTTAGTATTTGAATGATACAATTAATCGGTGATTAATCAGCTCTAAAGATAAAGAATACAATATTTTCTCATTGCAAATGCACCACTAAGATTATGAAATGAGTTTTGCATTTTTAATGTTAAATATCTTGACCATAGTGTGTAGCGTTTAAACAAAAACTCTTTACCAAAATGCAGCATTGTATTTATCTAAGACAGACTGGTATTTCTTGGTACAGTATTTTGTGTGATGCGTTAACTTTTTCTTACTCAACCAGTGAATCCGTGGAAACCACATCAAAGTTAATTTGTGAATTGTCAGAAAGTGATCATTTTTATTTTGATATTTCTGTGGCTTGGAAAAGGCCATGGGTAGCATAACTGCATCTTCTTCAGCAAGTGGCATGTTATCACTTTTTCTGTCATGCAGTTAGAATGAAAAATGACTGAGAACAGTTGAAAGGGATTATTTATCTTTACAGAGAGTTGTGGTATCCTGGCCAAGAATTCCCCCAGATAAAATAGACCATTTACTTCATGCCTGTTTGTAGGACATTGCTGTGTGCAACTTGGATGCCAGGTTCACTTACAGAATACATAGTCACTACACTTCGCAGTAAATTCTGCAAAGTGTTTTGAGATATCCTCTCAATGTGAAAGGCGCTACATCATATGCAAGGAATTATTTATTTATTCACTTCATTTTATTTGTTGGTGAAACTTGTGTACCATCATCCATTATTTTCTCCCAAATAGCTATTCTGGTGTAATTATATTATCATCTCTCATGTTAGGCAGTTCTCAATTATGTGATGTGGTACAGCATCAAATACCTTTTAGAAATTCAGGTAAATTTTACCCTGTAGGGTAAAATGTTCTTTAATGAAGCAGAGAAATTATCATAATTAATTAAATAGTACTTTGAATGCTTATTGTCATATCTGATGTACTTTGTACTAAAAGAGATTTTAACATAGGTTTACACAGAATTTTATTCCTGTTCTTGCAGGAGCCAGAAACAAAGAAAAGCAACCAGGCTCTCGACATAAGGCTGTCTCCATCACTCGACAGTTTTCCTCCAGAGGAAGAGGACAACCCTTATGAATTTTTGGCAACAGCAGTCACAAAGAAACCCCGCTCATTAGACATATCCAGATTGTCTTCAGGAAGAACAGGTATTGGAACTTGGGATTCAATGGTCTGGTCTGTGGGATTATCTTTCACCACTGGGTTTGTGGATTCAAATTCAGCTATGATTTATGAGATGATGGTCATCTCTGTTTGTTAAGGATTCAGAGTTGAAAGGTGGCTAGAAGTGTTGAATGTTGTGTGAACTTGATTTCAAATTTTCTAGTTGTGAAATCTTCCTTTAAGTTCAAATTTAGTTCTTAGAATTTGTGGATATAAATTGGAAATTTTGGAAACTCCCACTACATCTGGGAAAATTTTTGATGTATGGGTTAAGACAATATCTGCCATCCAATATTAAATCTGATCTTGTACTATTGTGATTGACCTTTTTCTTATTAGAATCAAATTCTTCCATTAAATAATCAAGTGCTACACCAAATGCAAGGATTATTTTTATTGAACAATGAGATTACATTTTATGTCAACTCTTCACCAGTTTTTGTAAATAATTTTGCTGCTTAAACTCCACTGTAAGGATTTCACTAGAACTTCAATGTACAGAATTAAATCAAGCAAGTTTATCAGTTGAATCAAATGCATACAACATAAGCCTTAAAACATTATACATGTATTAGACAGTATACAGAAAAAGAGACCATATTATCCGATCCCAACTTCTGGACAGCAATGGCAGTAAGACTATTCAGCATACTCCGACTCCTCCACTGCTGTCCCAGAAATGGGCCTGGAGGGGTTTGAGTAGGGTGTGGAGGAAGAGGTATGCGTGGAGTTGGTTGGCAACAACTTGTTCCAGAGCTTTGGCAAGGAAGGGCAGGTTTGAGATAGGGCGGTAGTGGTCAAGGTTGGAGGGATGGAGGGTAGATTTTTTAAGGAGGTGGTTGATGACCGCGGTTTTGAGGCGAGTGGGACTGATCCTGAGGAGGGAGACTAGTCGATAATGTCTGCCAGCAGGGGGCAGAGGAGGGGGAGCTGAGTGGTCAGCAGTTGGGTGGGAAGGGCGGTCAAGACAGCCAGGTGGTGGGTTTCATTGTGGTGATGGTGGATGAGAGGGAAGAAGGAGAGATGGGGCAAATGAATGTAGGATGGAGGCCGTGGTCGGAGCTGAGCTTGGAGTGGGTGAGGGAGATGGAATGGGGGTGGTGGTAGGCGACACGGGGCAGAGGGATGAACCAACCAGGCGGATGTTGTCAATTTTAGAGATAAGGACCTCTTTGCACTTGGCGTTAGATTTGATGATTGAGGGTGCTTGAGGGGGTACATAGAGGAGGTGGTGGGCGGTGGAGAATAGGATTTTGGAGTTATTGTTAGACTCCAGTATGATGTTTGAGTAGTGTGCAGTTTTTGCTTGGTTAGGAAGCGGCAGTGGTGAACCATGAGGCTGGTTTTGTGCCACCTGCGCTCGAGCAACTGGGTTTGGGATTTTAGGGAGCGGAGATGGCTGTTGTACCAGGGGTTTGGAGACAGTCCTGGATTTCAGGGGGATGAGGGAGTTGAAGGTGGAGGAGAGGTGATCATGGACCAGCTTGACGGCTGCTTCAGGGTCCCTGGGGGTGGAAGGCCAGAGGGAATGGGAGGTCTGAGGATGAGAGGACCTTTGTGAGGGTCTTGGGGGGAAGTCTTTTCCATGGACGGAAAAGAATGTTTTGAGGTCTTGATGGAGGGGAGAGGGATGCGAGAGGAGGAGATAAGGAAGTGGTTCGAGGTGGCCTTGGTTATGATGCACAGGTTGGAACTGTCGAGGCTGTGTGATGACGAGGTCGAGAGGGTGACCACAGTTGTGGGTCAAAGAATTGATGTGGAGGGTGAGGTTTAAGGAGGAGAGGATGGCAGTGAAATCTGAGGATGTGGTGCAAGGGGAGTTTAGGTGGAAGTTGAAGTCACCCTCAGGCATTCTGAGCAGAGGGAAAGGAGAGAGGCAAATGAAAAGAAGCAGCCAGAGGAATAAGGGGATAGACCGAGGGAAGCTTGGGAGATCAGGACATCATGTGTATCCTGTGCCATGTGGAAACTCCAGGATACTTTGTGTGCCCCAGACAACCATGGTGTAGGAAGTGCCTCCGACCCCTTGAGCTCCTCAGGGTTTCTGAGCTCAAGGAGATGCTGGTGTCACTACATAGCATACGTGAAGTTGAAGACTTCATGGATCAAATGTTTCAGGAGGTGGTCACCCCACAGCCACAGAGAGTTCAGAGCGGCTGACCACCCATCATGGTAGGAAGAGGAGACAGGCATTGCAGAAATCCTCTGAGTGTGTGGCACTCACAAACCGTTTTTCTGGGCTGAATACTGGTGAGGAAGGGGAAGGCAATTAAAAGCAAATCATAATCCCATGTGACAACTTGAGCCTGTAGCTCACCAATCTTACTTGGCACACTCCATGACTTACACACATGCACTCCAAACTGCATTTGTCTGCTTTGCTTTTCTCCCTATCTGATCCCTCCTCTTTACAGACTACTCTTTAGACAGTCAATTTCACTTTACAGTGTGTTCTGTGAAGCGCTTTGGGACGTCCTCCCGACGTGAAAAGCGCTATATCAAATGCAAGGATTATTATTATTATTATTATTATTATAATATATGGGGACACAGGGAAGAGTGCCAATGCAGTTGTCATTGGGGACTCAACAGACAGATAGACAGGTGTTTCTGCAATATCAGATGTGAGTCTTGCATGGTGTTTCCTCCTAGTGCCAGGGTAGAAGACTTCAAAGAATGTAAAACATTCTGCGGGGGGAAGGGGAACAGCCAGAAGTTGTGGTCCATGTAGGAACCAATGACGAAGGAAACAAAAGGGTAGAGGTCCTACAGTCAGTTTCAGGAGCAAGGGAGGAGACATGGCTGGAGAAATGGTGCAGAAAGATGGGCTTCAGATTCCTGGGGCATTTAGACCAGTTGTGGGCCAGGTGGGACCTGTACAAGGTGGATTGGTTACACCTGAACAGGGCTGGGACCAATGTCCTCACAGGGAGATTAAGGTAGGGCAGGGTTTAATTTGGAGGGGAGAAGGGTAGCAGGATGCAGCATCAGAAAGGACAAACAACTATGCAATAAAGAGTAGTCTGTAAAGAGGAGGGATCAGATAGGGAGAAATGCAAAGCAGACAAATGCAGTTTGGAGTGCATGTGTGTAAGTCATGGAGTGTGCCAAGTAAGATTGGTGAGCTACAGGCTCAAGTTGTCACATGGGGTTATGATTTAGTGGCAATAACGGAGACCTGGGTCAAACAAAAGCAGGAATGGGAGATGAATATTCCTGGCTACAATGTATTCAGGTGGGATAGGGAATGAAAAGAAAGGAGGTGGGGTTGCAGTGTTGATCAAAGACATGTTTTTGAACCCTGGAAAGGAACGATATGCTGGAAGATCCAAAAACAGAATCTATTTGGTGAGAGTTAAGGAGCAGAAGAGGAGCTGTTACACTGTTGGGTGCATATTATAGATCACCAAATAGTGGGAAGGAGATGGAGGAGCAAATCTGCAAGCAGATTTCAGAAAGATGTAAAACCGAAAGAGTAGTGATAATGGGGGATTTCAATTATCCAAACATAGACTGGCAAAATAACAATGTAAAGGGCAAGGAGCGGAAGAATTGCTGAAATGTGTGCAGGAGAACTTTCTTGATCAGTATGTTTCTAGCCCAACGAGGAAGGAAGCAGTGCTGAATCTAGTCCGATAGGGACAAGGAACAATGAAAGGTGAAGATAATCAACTGGAAAGGGGCTAAATTCAGTGAGTTGAAAAAGCATCTAGCCAAGGTGAACTGGAAAGAAAAATTGGTATGTAGAACAGTAAACGAGCAATGAGAAACCTTCAAGGTGGAGATAGTTCGGGGACAAAACAAATATATTACCACAAAGAAGAAAGGTAGGGCGTCCAAACCTCCCTGGATGACAAAAGAAATTGCGATTAAAAAGAAACAGAAAAAGGAGGCTTATGATAAATGTCGGATCCAAAATTCAGAAAATAATCAAACAGAATATAGAAAGTCAGAGGAGAAATGAAAAGGGAACTAAGAAGGCAAATAGATTTTTAGCGGGTAACATAAAATTATTCTTGAAGGAGATAAGGGAGGGGGTGACCCAGAGGGACTGCAGAATGGAATTCCAGAGGGTGGGGGCAGAGTGGTTGAAGGTAAATAGGGGCATAGAATACAAAGGTAAGGAGGTTTATGATGAACCTTTACAAAACACTAGTTAGGCCTCAGCTAGAGTACTGTGTTCAATTCTGGTCACCACACTTTAGGAAGGCTATCAAGCCATGGAGAGGGTACAAAGGAGATTTACCATGATGGTAGCAGGAATGAGGGACTTCAGTTATGTGGATAGATTAGAGAAATTGTTCTCCTTGAAGCAGAGAAGGTTAAGGGGAGGTTTAACAGAGGTGTTCAAAATTATGAGGGGATTTGACAGAGTGAACTGGGAGAAACTGTTTCCACTGGTGGGTGGATTAGTAACCAGAGGACGCAGATTTAAGATAGTTGTCAAAAGAACCAAAGTGGCGATAAGGAAAAATGTTTTCACACAGTGAGTTGTTTGGATCTGGAATGCATTGCCTGGAAGCAGATTTGATAACAACTTTCAAAAGAAGTGGATAGATATTTGGGGAGGACAAATATGCAAGGCTATGAGGGAGAGAGTGGGGAAGTGGAATTCATTTGGATAGCTCTTTCAAAGAGCTGGCACAGGCATGATGGGCCGAATGGCCTCCTTCTGTGCTGTATAATTCTATGATTCTATGATATAGCGCTTTAAAGTGTTTTATGGAAAGAATTTCCTGTAAAATGTACCACAGTTTAGTGCTTGGCTTTCACTTTCTACAAGAACAACAACAAGATTCCATTTATTGAGCGCCTTTCACGTCGGGAGGACGTCCCAAGGCGCTGTACAGTTGGGTCAGGACCCGAGCAGGAGGGAAATGGTCAGCATGAGGGGAGGGAAGGGAGGGAGCGAGGAGGGGGTAGAGAGTCGAGAGGGGAGCTGAAGGCACGGTCAAAGAGAAAGGTCTTGAGACCGGCCTTCAAG